GCCCCCGCGAGGACTTCCCAGTCCCTGACAAATCAGGTTCACATTAGACCTCAAATCTCAAGGCAGACCCAGTCCACACAGCAAGACCCCAATCCACAAATCCTGCCCGCGTCAGGACTGCAATCCTGAAGCAAGCTGTCTGGTCAGACCTGTCCACGTCAGGACCCCCGAATCTCAACACAGGTGCTGCCACAGCCGGACCCCTCAAGACCCTCGGGCTGCTGTGTCTCCATCAGGGGCCCAAATCCCAAAGCCAACAGCGTCCACACCAAACCAGAAGCCTGAAACACAGCCTGTCCTGAGTGGGACCCCACAATCCAGGGCAAACCTTCCCATATCGGGACCCCAAACTCACCGCAAACTTCCAAGTCCCCATGTTGGACTCGTAAATCCTCTCAGCCCTCCAGCCAGCCGTTGAGCACAGAACAAACGCTGCCCACTCCCGGACCCCCAAACCAAGAACAAACTTGGCCAAGACTGAACCCCAGGTCCCCAGGCTAACCCTGTGACCCTCAAAACCCTGAATCCTCTAGCAACCGTGTCCGCTGAAGGATACTAATGCCTGAGACGAACTGCCCACCTCAGGACCCCATACCTCTATGCAAACCATGCCCAAGTTTGAACCCCAAATAAAATTCCCCAAGCTACCCCTGCTTACAACAGAACCCTAAGTCCCAAAGCAGATTCTTCTCAGATCATGACCCCAAAGCTCAGAGTGGACAAGCCCAATCCTGAGCCCCCAGTCTCTAACCGCTTGTGCCTTTGAACCCCGATCCATCAGCCATCTCTGTCTGTGTGAGGATGCCAGAACCCAAAATGAGCTCTTCCCACATCTGGGAGCTAGTTCCCAAGCTCACCGTGACGACACTAGAACACCAATCCTAAGCAAAATGTCCTCCTAAGGGCTCCAAAGAATGGGGCAAACTCTGCCCACCATAGGACCCCAAAACTCAAACATACCCATATCTGAAACCCAAGTCTCAAGGAAACCATGTTTAAGCCAACTATATCCATGTAAGGAAGCCGAAGTTCCAAGCAAGCCTTGCCTACGTGAGGACCCCAAGACTCGAAGCAAGCTCTGTTTGTATTTGAAACCCCAAATCCCTCAGGCAACCTTACCAATACCAGAACCCCAAGTTCTAGGCCAAACCTTGACCATCTCGGGACCCCAAATCGCAGAGCAGAGCCTGTCGCCTTCAAGACCCCCAGAGCCCAGGGCTGACCTGTCCGATTCCTTACCCTGCGTTGCTACAGTACGCAGGACTCTGTTAGAACCCCAAATCCCCAAACAAGCCTTGCCCACACAAAGACTCCACATCCCAGAATAGACCCTTCCCACACCAGGACCCCCAAACAGAAAGCAAACATTGCCTTCATCAGAATCCCCAAATCCAGAGCAAACACTGCCCTCATCAGGACCCCAAATCTCAAAACAAACTCTAGCCATGTTTGAACCCCAAATACTGGCACTAACTCAGTTCGTACCAGAGCCCCGAATCTCAAGGTGTGTCCTTCCTTGTCCACATCAGGAGCTCAAAACTAGCCCCATCGGAATCAGAACCCAGCACCCAAAGCTCACTGTGGCTAGATCAGGACCCCAAGGCCCCCTATCCAGACAGATCCCATGTGGGGTAAGGACTCGGAGCCCAGTCTCTCCCTCCATTGATCTCCTTCCCTCAGCCTGAGGACCTGGCTGTCCCTGTCCTGGTATCTACAATGTTTAGGATACGAGAACAGGACAGGATCAGGGCCCCTGGCTCCATCATCTCCCCACCCGGTTGAAATCAGTGCAAAAAGACTTCAAGGAAACGGAGATATAAAAAACTCTCTGGGCTGCTGCACAGAGAACGTGAGGAGCCCGTAATGCAGACATACTGCAGCACCCCTGCAGGGGCCAGGAGCGATGGAGACAGAGATCTGAGCGCAGCCTGTCTTCACAGTCTCCGCTCCCCCAGACGCTGCCCTTCCGGGGCTCAGTTTCCTGATGTGTAACACGGAGCCTCTTAGCTCTCCAATCCTTCGGGCCGTATCCCGCTCTGGGCAGAGAGGACTCGGGAAACTCAAAATGCACATTGAAGGCCAAAAATACCTTCCTTCCGCTCTCTTTGAAATAGGTGAAGCATCTTTCGCGATGTATTTATTTTGCTATCGGAGTGTTTGGGAGATGCTCCGGGGGCCTGGCGGAGGCTTTATTTGGAGAGAAGTAGATCTCGAACCCAGAGTGTATTTAACACATTAACGAGGAGGTGAGCGGCTGAGGGACAGTAAATGTCTGGCACCCGTTCTGTTAATTCATTTTCACTGATGAGCTATGCTGAGCAATAAATCCGAGAAAGCCAAGAGGCAGTGAAAGAGACCGAGTGACTTAGCACTGATGTCACAATCCTACCAGTCAGCAAGCACTTAGCAACCACTGCAAGCTTGACCTCTCTCGCGGCTGCAGTCCTTACTGTTGATAGCAAACAAGACGGGAAGAAGGTGTCACTACGTTGATAAAAGAAATTTGGGTTTCTGCCTATAAATGATCCGCCGATGCCTCTCTCCCCACCGCAAGGTTGCCAGGGAGGATTACATGAGATCACGTGTGTGTGAAAACCTTGAGGGACACAAATCTAAAAGGGGTGAGCAAATTCATGGATGAGGGTCAACCTTACACGTCTGTTGTCAACTCTAATAATTTATTTAGCTGGTGATAATTAGTCTTTGTCTAAGCCGAAGGCAGTTGCTGCCTGTAAACAGAGAATGGCGGAGCTGTTCGGCATGTGTGAATTGCACTCTTTCTTGGGGAAACACAGCTTGATTCAATTTTTTCAAAGTTGTTAGGAAGTCAAGTTGTCTTGCTGAAGACTGATGACTGATTATCCTCTGTGCGAGAACCACAGATAGGAACCTAATTAACAAATTTGCTAATTGCTACTCCTGTTTACATCCACCGTCTGAAGTTTCTCGTCACCAAAGGGGGGGGTGGCCAGCGGAGCCTTGAGGGACGAGGTCGTGGCACTGGAGGGAAGGCAGGTCTGTTCGGAGCCCTGGCTCTACTCTCCTAGCCATGGGAGCCTCCGTGTGCTCACCGACACTCAGAGATGACAAACTTAGCTTGTCACGAGGGTTAAAGAACGTAGGCGCTCGGTACAAGGCGCTTAGTAATCACTCAGTCGCGAGTCCCCAAAACTCATGAATTCCACTCGGAATAAATGGTAAATCCAGCCTGGCAGAGTTGAGACTTCGCGCTTGTAGGGTTGCTCGCGGAGAAAAGAAATTATGCGACCCCTAAGCAAGATTATAGGTGGCCACGTAAGGAAGTGTATATTTCAAAAGGTAGGCTGAAGATAACGTTGCTGAAAATGTTCTAGAGTCCTCCATAGCCCTGACATTCTTTCCCAAAGAGTCTGCATTTATGAGGTGTGAGTCGATCCACTCACCCCATTCTTTTCTGTGCGTGGAGGGCTGCTCTGGGCGATAACACAAAGGAGTTGTAACGTCTCAAGGCCAAATCACGGTGAACGTCAACATTACAATTCTTCCCTTACCATAAATGCTCAGCTGGGGCGAGTTGTCCCCCAGGGGTCGTTTTGGCAACACCGGGAGACGTTTTTGATGGTCACAACTAGGTGAGCAGGTTATTGGCCTCTGGTGGGTAGAGGCCAGGGATGCTGCTAACACCTGGCGATGCCCGGGGTGACCCCCACAACAGAGAATGATCCAGTCTGACATGTCAGTAGCATCAAGATTGAGAAACCCTGCTGTAGAGACGCAACCGAGTTCTGTCATTGTTACATCTTTAGCCAACTGTTAACAACACCAACCAGAGTTAGTATTTGACTTTAATGTATGACTGACGCACATACATTGTACTGTTTACTGTCAGGTAGTTCTATTTCTAGAGTTTGCCTCATAAAATGACTTTACCGGCTCATGTATTTTTTTTTCCCCCAACAGAACAAGTTATAATTACAGAATTTTATAAATTGTTGCCATTTTGGGGGGTGGTTTCGCCTCTGTTTGAGCTGAGCCAAATTAATTTTCTAAAAAGCATTAACGACCACAAACAGACTCATGTGGAGTCATCAAATGAGATTGGTGCTCAAGGTTTTAAAATTATCTTTGTGATGCCCAAGGTCAGATAATCTCTTAAGTTAACCAATGTAATTGTTTATCTTTAACACCCAATTTTTTTTTTTAAAGAAAAAATTATTCCCTGTAGGAGTTTTGATGGATGATACCACACTGAAGTTCCATGATGTTGTTCCTGGTGGAATTATTTCATTATGTATCTGGCATTATGATGGATGGACAGAACTGATTTTGGCGGCTGTGGAAGGGGATCCTAGTAAGGTGTTTTCACGCTTCTCTAAATGGATATTATACTTCATGAAGCAACCGTAAACTGTGGATGTGTGTGGGGGAGGGTGGTGTGGGAATCGTGGGCTCCTAATGATCAAATCCTACACTGCGTGGTTCCAGTCACTCTCGGGTTTGCTATTTCACGGTGTTCACCTGTAACCCACTCGTGCCCCACGCCACCCCACAAAGGAGACAGGGCAGTGCATTTTCTATCCGTATGTATATTTTGTAAAGTTGAAAACCTGATTGAACAGTGAACGAAGAGCTCCCCATAGCTGGGAACGCGTAGTCCAAAGAAAGTCCTAATGTGGGTCTGCCCCTCCCCTAAGGCAACACTACTCGATACGCAGCAGGTGCCTGGTCTTTGCCAGGCCTTGTGCGCAGCTCTCGGCTGGGCTCTGGGTGGGCAGTGGGGAGGAGGGAGGAGGGAGCCCGACGGTCTGCCCAACAGTGAAGACGGGAGGCTGGGGGGACAGGGGCGGCCAAGTGTATGTTCCTTCTAGAAGGCACATTTGGATGCAAGGCCATGAGTGTGCGGGGAAGGGGTCGAGGAAGGTGGGCTGCAGGAGGGTTGCTGGGAATTAGATCTGGGAAGGGTGGGTCGTCTCCGGGGAGGCGGGGACAGGGCTGACTGGAACCCCCTCCCACCACCTGTGTGCAGCAGCCTTAGAAGGAGGGGCTCCCCTCCCGGGTCCTTCCCCGGTCTCCTCCTGCTCCTGGCCTTCCCCTGCCTCCCCTCTGCCACCGAGGCCTGGGCCCTGCCTGGGTTTTCTGGCTCTTGCCCTGAACCCCGGGATTCCCTCCTGTCTCCCACACTTTCGGGTTCTGCTTTCCCCCCACGGCCGCTCCTACGCCGGATGCCCCATATCTAGGACCGAGTTCCTCTCTGTCGGGGCCCACAGCCTTCCTCTCGTGCTCAGAGCCTTAGTTCAGCATGAGATGATTATATTATGGGGCTATTTTTCATCCGCGAGTGGAGTTCAGAGCGTTCCAAAAGTTAGCAGAGACAATGGGCCCGAAAATAGATCGGAAGGCCAGAATTCATCAAGTCTCCAGAGAAGTGCACTCCCCTCTGGGGAGGCCACTTCGTGTTGGCTGGTGTCTTCCTTAATGGCCAGAGCCACCTTCCTCTGGACACCCAGAAAAGTTATTTTCTCTTCAAAACACCGACAGGAAGAATTTCCTGCCTCCCGAGCCTGCCTGATGGTAAATGCGGATTTCCTGGACACGCATAGAGTGTTCAACAATGTCCTCCCCCGGGGGGTGTCCCGGCTTCTTAGTCAGGGTTTGCCCCCCTCTGTGTCCACCACAAGCCTCAACTTGCCACTGGAGCAAACCTCCCCCTGGGGAGGGTCCCGGCCCCCACCAGGCAGGTTGGGCCCTTTTGAAGTAACTCTGTTCTGTTGCCCAGCTGTCTTGTCTTGCTGTTGATGAGGACTCCGTCTACCAAACTGCAAATTCAAAGCATCTTGGAGGCGAGCGGAGGAAGGAATGGATATGTCAGAGGGCGTTCGTGGCCTTGTACATTACCTCCCACAGAGGTCACCCAGATGCTGTGCAGTACCTTCTAGAGCACGGTAATTCTGAGAGACAGCTGAGTGTGTCCGCGAGCTGGGGTCTTGTGCGGGTAGGGGGACCGAGTGGCTTGGCTTTCTGGCCCCTTCGGCAATGGCATCCTGGATTCAAGTTGTGTCCACCACCCCTCACGGTCCCAGTGGACCACTCGCCGTCTGTCCGAGGCGTCTTAGGACCTGCCTACTAAAGGCTGTGTCCCCCCCCCTCTTGGCCAGGACTCCAGAAGAGTCTTTCTGTTGCGAGAGATGCAGCTTTCAGGACACGAATTCACAGGAGCAGCCGCGAGGGCTTCCCGGCCTGTTACGTCCAAAGCAGACACGCTGCCGGAGACGTCCCCAAACTGTCTGTGCTATTTCTGCCCCACCTGAACTTGGGTTTCAGCAACAGTCCGAGGCACCCAGCCCCAAGCCGGCACCGGTCCCTGGCCAGTCTCCTTTCTCCGAGGCTTTGGATTTATTTCGCTCAGAAGACACTTACCCCAAACCCCGTTTTCATTTCTGCCCCCCACCCCCACCCAGAGGGCAAGTTGCTCCTTCTCTCTCTGTCCATAGAAATAGAAACCTTCGGGGCACCTGGGGGGGCTCGGTCGGTCAAGCGTCTGACTGTGGCTCAGGTCATGATCTTGTGGCTTGTGGGTTCGAGCCCCACGTCGGGCTCTGTGCTGGTGGTGCAGAGCCTGCTTGGGATTCTCTGTCTCCCCCTGGCTCTCGGCCCCTCTCCTGCTCATTCTCTCTCTCCCTCAAAATAAATAAAGAAACTTAAAAAAAAAAAGAAAGAAAGAAAGACATAGAAGCCTTAGTCTGCATTGTCTCTGGATTAAAGGCTTCTGTGTATAGTCCTGCCACGGTAAACTTTCTCTTCCCCGGACGTAGGATATTTTTGGGCAAAGAGGCCCACGGACCGATCGAGGTGTCGACCATCCAAGAACAATAGACAATAGTTGCAGACGGCCCAGGCCGCCGGCTTCCTGGGGAAAAGGAAGAACGTGACGTGCCGTTTGGTCAGTGGTTTGAGGCTCAGAAGGGAGCCTCATACCAGGGTCTCCCATATCAGCCTGCCCTCAAGTCAGAACCCTTTCTTTCCTGCCCGCGGCCTTGACCCCAGCCTCTCTGCGCCCCCTGCTTCCAGCAAGCAGGGCGGGAGTATCCCCGCGGCCTGGGCCGAATGGCGCTTGTGTCTGTCTGGCGGGTGGTGGTTTTCCTGAGCGGCCTCCTCCTTGGCTGTTCGCAGCCCAGCAGTCCGTTAAGCTCATAAAAAGTCATTTTCACTCTGATGGAACTGCGATGTATTCGCAAGCACCAGTTAAAACATTACAGCCAGCTCTGCAAAGTTTTCTGGGCTTTGCAGACAGCTGCTGCAAAAAAGCCGTGCTGTGGCTGAGGCTGGGCGTTAGGAGAACCTATTTAAAACTTTACCTCGCCGACCAGCCATAGCTCATAAAAACTGGCTACAGAAATGTCAGCTGCATGTAATTGAATCGCCTTGTTTTCTGTGTCATGATATTTGTTACCCAGAATTTGATTCAATTCAACAAGTCCATATTGGACACCTGTCATTAGCCCATCCATCTGCGGGAGGCAGTGAGGAATTCAATCGAAGTGAAATCTGTCCCTGAGTCAGGGTGCCCATCGTCTGTCATTTCCCGAGTGCCTGTCTTCTCCAGGCATCGCGCTACGTGCTGGGGATGAAAACAGCGGTGATCAAAACAAGTGTGTTTTCTGCCTCCGTGCAGTTTGTGAAGGGAAGTCAGCAAATTATTACAAATAATTAATTCCATGGTCAATCGTGCATGGCATGTTCTGAAGATACAGTGTGTCTACTGAGCGTATGGGGGTGGGGGGGATACACGGGAAGAGGGGCTCAGGAAGGGTTTCCTGAGGAAATAAATGAAGGATAGCAAGAGAGCCCGGGGCGGGGAGGGGGGCGCGGAAAAAGGTGACAGGGTTTTTAGCAAAGGAGACAGCATATGCAAAAGGCCTGGGGCAGGATGAGGGAGCAGGGTGTATTTAAGCGATGAAGATAGAAGCCTGGTATAATTGGAGCATGGAGGGAGTGGGCACAGAGCATGGGTGGGTGGGGGTAATGCTGGAGTGATAGGGGGAGGTAGAGGTGAGACAGAGCACTGACAACCTAGAAAATCACCACAAGGGTAGCGGACGTCAGAAACGGGGTTGGAGCAAGTGTGTGCTCTGGGCAGACTGGAGGCAAGGCGGTGCCGGGTTCAGGGGCCAGTGAAGCGACGCCTCCCCTCTCACACTCGCTGCTGGGGTCGGGGGCAGTTCGGATTCTCCCGAGCTTTCTTTCCGTGGCCTCGCCCCTCCCGCGCTTCTCCTCTCGAACGTGACTCCGAAGGGGAGGCTCGCGGCCGGGAGGGCGACCCTCCCTCAGCCAGCTGTCTTATTTTACAGGAGCCGACTGTCTCCAAAGAACCCCCATGGGCAGGACCGCCCTGCACGCGGCTGGGGCCATGGGCCGTTTGGACTGTATAAACCTGCTGCTCAACCACGGGGCCTCGGTCACCGACAAGGATGCCAGGGGGGAGACCCCCATGTCCATTGCCCGGCGCATGAACCGCAAACACAGCGAGAGGCGCATGTTCCTTTTCTACTGGATGACAAAGTCAGGGACGACGGACCCGAAGAAACTGCTCGCGAACCAGGTTTCTCACAGGGTGAAGGGTGGGTTTGGCTCCAAGAAGGGCCCAATTTAGCTCCCACGGGCCACGTGTGCGCGTCGAAGCTGACTTGGGTCACTGTTCGGAGTTCAAGTCCACTGTGGCCCTCGGTGAGCAGGAAGCCAAGAAAACATGGCAGTCCCTCTGAATCAGGTATTACATCATCTGTCCTGTTCGCGCACGGCTTTGGGGGGGTGGGGGGTAGGTGAGTTTGCGCTCATTCTGGAATCCATGACGGACTGAGCGGCCTCTGATGCCAGCCTTTAATTTTGTGCTATTTGTGCATTGCCTCTGACAACGCTGCTTGGGGTGATGGGCACCAATTACCTTCTCTCCCGTCTGGAGACCATCTAATGCGTCAGCATAAGAGAAGTGATAGCAATAATGAGAATAGCACTGTTCCATTGTAGAAAACCAGTGCCAGCGAATGTCGCGAGGTTGCGGGCCGTGCGGGCTGTGAATTTCGGCTTGTAAAACCTAGGAGCTACGTGCCGCCCAAGCTAGCGAGGTTCCGGAAGTTTTCCTGACCCGCCTCTGAGGGGTCTGCTGCTTGAGGGGTGGAGAAGTGAGGGGGGGCCAAGAGCAGAGAGAGCTTGGTTCTCCAGACACGTCCTCCACGGGGTGCCTTACTAGTCTTGCTGAAGGCGATGTGTCCCCACTGGATTTGGAGGAGACAGCGTAAAGGATGCTGATGAGCTCGTGGAGGAGAGACTCCGAGCTGGCACCTTCTTTCCCTTTGTCCCGCCCCTGGTGGTCCGCTGTCCTTTCCCTGCTAGAACCGCGAAAGCACCACCAACCTTCCTACGCTTAGTTCCAGGCTCCGTACCTCGCAAGGGCTGTGCACCTGCAGGGGACCCAGCCTGCCACGTGTCTGAGCCCAGAGCAGGAGCAAGAGGGGAAGGTGGGGACCAGGGCGAGCGGACGTTCACACCCCTGTCTGAAGGGGGCGCCACGACTCAGCTCCAGAGGAAACGTGACCCAAAGGCTGCTAGATCTTTCCAGAGCGTTTTGATACGATAAGTCCCGATTTAAAAAAAATAAATAAATAAATAACGTTTATTTATTTTTGAGAGACAGAGCGTGAGCTGGGGAGGGGCCGAGGGAGAGGGAGACACAGAATCCGAAGCGGGCTCCAGGCTCCGAGCTGTCAGCACAGGGCCCCACGTGGGGGCTCGAACTCACCCACTGCCAAGATCATGACCTGAGCTGGAGTGGGATGCTTAACCGACCGAGCCCCCCAGGCGCCCCAGATGAGTCCCGATCTTGAAGGGCTGGCCTGAATTTTTTAAAAATGGTGGCGTGGTACAGAAGGACTAGCAGATTTGAGGCACGCCTGTGGAACTGCCTCCCGTCGCCAAACTTCGTTTCACTGAGGAAGACGGCGGAAGCCACCAATGGCTCCTGGAACACGCAGGGCTCAGAAGCCACAGGCCGGACGGCCGTGGGTCTTGCTGGGCGATGGGTACCCTGCACTCTCCCACCGCGCGGTTATGCGTGTTTCTCTAAAGCCCTATAGTCTGACACCTCTGGGGCCTGTGTGACGCTGGCCTCCCGACCGTGGAAGTTCTGTTTGTAAAGTGATGGAAAACGGCCCCGTATCCCGGCTGCCCTTCTTTCCGCCGCGCACCCCGATAACCGGATTCGGCTTTTAAATTAATTGGCTGCATTTCCCGCTGTCATAACAAGGAAGATCTGTGTTGACGATGTGGCTTTCCACTCAGGAGACGTGGCTGTACCCGGCTCAGCAATCTGTTTGACAAATAATCGTCAGAAAAAAAAAAAAAA